ATAGATGGACGGACAGATGGATGGATGGATGGACAGATAGATGGATGACAGGTAGATGATGGATGGATGGATGGATGGACAGATAGATGGATGGATGGATGGACAGATAGATGGACGACAGGTAGATGGATGGATGGACGGACGGATGGATGGATGGACAGATAGACAGACGGACAGATAGATGTCCAGCCCTGGTTTCGACGCTCTGTAGTTCTCTGTTTCTCAGAATGACATGCTCGGGTCATTAATAGTCATTTTGTAAACACAAGCGCGACTCTACTGGGAACATCAAGCCTCATTAAACCCCTCTGCTGCAGTTTGTAAATGGAGGCTCGCTCTGCCAGCGCTCTCCTGGTGGCCGGCTTCCAGGCCCCGGCATTCTTAGGTCTGAGAGATGAAGAGGGCCGTGTTACATTTGCTACAGTCAATTCATCCCACATGATGGCTGGACAGGGTTTCAAGCCTCTCGCCAGATCCAGGAGCCAGCTAGAGCCAATAAAACATTCAGTTAATATATTTAACAAAATAGCTTGCCTAGCACACTCACATTTTGAAAATGTATCTGAAACTGAAAAAGTGATACGTTGGTGTGACAAATCAGGGTTAATGGTTATTATCTGCTTATTACGTTGTGAATAACACTGTAATTATTACTTTTTTTCATTATTTTCAGTGCATGTGGCCATTGAGGAAGGAGATCAGGATGACGGTGTTACAGAGGAGGAGGTATCTGAAGGACCAGGTGAGACCACACTTCAAAAACTCCTCTTATTATGATTTACAATCGTCATATGCATCAATATGCATATCTCTCTGCTCCAGATAACATCCTGAAGCGAGTGTTTAACATCGTGAAGTTCTCCTGGGTGCTCTTCCTGGCCCTGCTGGACAGTTTCACAGCCTGGCTTAACTCCATCTGCCAGGAGCACATCGATATCTCCACCGTCCTGCGCATTGAGCGCTGCATGCTCACTAATGAGGTCAAAAAGGTAGTGCTGGCACGAGAAATCACACGCTAGAGTGCTGCAGAGTGGCCTGCATCTGCATTTGTATTTTATCTTGAGTTACTGGGTGCACATGACAAATAATGATCTTTATTTATTTTTTCTATTTATGTTTTTATAATGCAGATAGTGTTCATATGCATTAAAAAAA